AGCCTAGCCTTTGTTACAAGGCCTGGCCGAATTCACTGTTGAACACAGTGAACCCCTAAGTCCATCAATATGGGGTCTTAAAGGGCCCAACATTTACACTAAATGGTTCTTGAGTCTAGCCACCTTATGAAGGCTGAAGGACTATGGCCTTAAGTGAGATTAGCCCATCAGGTATAAAAGCCCTAAATGGTCTTACACTTAACCTCTCAGCCCAAAATTACCAAACACTGCCCGACAAGAGAGGACCTCTCCCTTGGCTGCAAGGTACAGTGTTGCACTCTCTGCTCGGATGGATCCCGGGAATTAAAACCTTTTGCAAACCTTTTTCATAAAACATAATATATATATTCATATAAATATATTTTGCAAAAAGAAATCTCAAACACGATTGAAATCAACTGCTGATAGTTTTGGTTTCCATCAGAGAGAGTGTAGTCCCCGATCATTCACTTTGTCCGAAAAAGGGGCTGATCCTGTCACTATGATCACCCACTCAGATGAATCCTCAAACTGCTCCAACATACCCAGGTTTTGACCCCCGCTAAGGATATCACTGATTAGCATATCAAAGATAGTCCAATCMAACACCCAGTTCAGTACCATAATCGAGTCTAGGGGTTAGGTGTAACTTTCTAGTTTTTCCCACTAGTCTCCAAGGTCTAGGGCATAACTGGAAAATGGTCCGATTTAGTGTTTCAAGTAAACACACACTACATGTGCTTCGGGTCACACCCTGGCAACTGAGACAAGCTACCCAACCAACTTGGCAACACATTAGTGTCAACCTTGGCAGGATAAACCTCCCTAGGTCTATCCAATGGCTGAGAACATTCTAAACTAACACGAGTCTCATAAGTGTCCAGTTTAAGTATAATTACACAAAAACACACCAGATATAACATGAATCAATTATGTACTTTTATTCATTTACAATAAATGCATATGTACATCAATCTGATTGGAGCTAAGGGCATACACTATCCAATAGTAGGAGAAATGCTAGTACATGCATTATTTATGTACTCTACTACTAAAAGTAACTTAATGATCAGATTGTTAATAGATAGCATCTAATATTAGTATAATTAATTTTACAAATGCGACAATATGTTGTATTACTGGCATGTTACCAATGAGACTTTTATAAGGCAGACATATGACTAAATTGCTATGTGAAATAAAGTGTTGGGCAATCAGAAAACATAATTTAGTTTGGTTTTCAAGTTGCCCACTGAATGTCTATAATTAGGGACTAACAGTTTTAATGGTGTGGTGACTATTATTCAGTAGTTAACTGATATTTGGAAGTAGATAATTTAGTTTCTTGCTATCCCTGATTATTCTATTAGATTTGAAAATCATAAAAAAATAAAAGTTGTTGATATGAAGCCTTTCTCTTCATAACCTTTTTAGTGCTTAGTCTATCTTCTAGTCTCTCTTGAGAACCACCATAAACATAATGCTCCTATCTTGTTCTGCTTTGTCACAAAGAAAAAAAAAAGGAATTTTCTGGTTTACTTGGCTCTTCAAATTGAAGAAGAAACTTTGTTTTCTCTTCTGATTTGAGGGATTGCATTTGTAGCTTATTTCTTGGAAGCATATCGTCCAGTTGGGAAAGGGGATCCCTTCCTTATTAGAGGTGGAATTAGGAGTATTGCATTTAAGGTTATTGAGACAAACCTAGTAGAGTATTGTGTGGTTCCTCCAGACACTAACATCTTTTGTGGGCGAGAGTTAGTAAGGAGGGAGGATGAAGATGGGTTAGATGAAGTAGGTTATGATCATGTTAGTGGAGTCAAAAAGCAGATGGCTCAAAAATGAGAACTAGTGGAACTTCCTCTGAGACTATTGCATTCTTCTTCAATATTAATGGACTAGAAATCATGTCAATATTAGTTGGAGAGAGTGAAAGTAATCTCAGAAAGGCATTTGAAGGAGTTGAAAAGAGTACACCCTCTATTATCTTTATTGATGAAATTGATTCCATATCTCTTAAATGAGACTCGTGTTAGTTTAGAATCTTCATAGCCATTGGATAAATATAGGGAGATTTATCCTGCCAAGACTAACACTAAAGTGTCGCTAAGTTGGTTGGGGTGGCTTTTCCTAGATGCCGGAGTGAGACCTGAGGTACATGAAGTGTGGGTTTTCTTGAAACCCTAAACCATACCAAAATTCTACTATTGCTCTGGACCTTGGAGATAGATGGGCAAAATTGGAATGTTACACTTGACCCCTAGAACAATTATGATACAACACTAGGTATCGGATTAGGCTATCTATGATGTGCTAATCAGTGAGATCCTTAGAGGGAGTCAAAACCTGGGTATGTTGGGACAGTTCGAGAATTCATCTGAGTGGTGATCATAGTGACAAGATCAGCCCCTTTGTCGGACAAAGTGATTGATCGGGGAGTGCACTCTCTCTGATGAAAACCTAAACTGCTGGCAGTTAATTTCAAATGTTGAAATTTGTTTTTGTAAAATATATTTATATAGAAGTATACATATATATTATGGTTTCAAAATGTTTGCAAAAGGTTTTAATTCCCGAGAACCATGTGAGTAGAGAGTGCAGCATTGTACCTTGCAGCCGAAGGAGAGGTCCTCTCTTGTCAAGTAGTGTTTGATCATTATGGGCTGAGAGGTTAAGTGTAAGACCATTGAGGGTAATACCTGATGGGCTAATCTTGCATCTGCTCACAGTCCTTGGGTTTTCATAAGGTGGCTGGACCCAATGACCATTTAGTATAAATGTTGGGTCCATTAAGAGCCCATGGTGATGGACTCAGGGGTTCACTGTCCCCTACAGTGAATTCGGCCAAGCCTTGTGGTGTGTGTGTATGCTACACATCATTTTTATTGCTGTATACATGGTTTTAATGATGATTTGCAATGGTTTTTACTCTATTTGAGCAAAATTTCAGGAAACTAGGAGTTTGGGACAATCTAGGGTGAAGAGAGCATACTTCGGCCCATCAAGAAGAAAAGCCCAGCTAAAACCCCATGGGAAGCACTAAAGCCACCAAGGAGAAAGGCCCAACTGCAGCCCAACCAAAACCCTATGGCTGAATTATTTTTGTTTCTTGGATTACTTGAATTGCTTGAGAAAGAGTTTAGGTAATCAGATCAACTAATCAAAAAAATGGATTGAATGCATCTTAGAAATAATTTGCATGATTCGGTGGCATTCTTTCAACTAGAATAAATTTCTGTCGACTCCTTGTTCTTAAGGCATCTATGGCGATTAAATTTATGATAGATATATAGGAATTATTGCTCATAGATAGAGTGGGTTGTGCTCGAGAGAGGCTGCTCATAAAATTAGGGTTTCACCAACCCAAGATTGAATTCACTTCGGTTGGGCTGCTTAAAGATTTAAGTGCTAAACCGGTTCTGCTAGTTCTTGCATGCAGTAATTCTTCTTATCATTAAAGGTGGTCTGATCCGAAACTACTTAGGGTAGTTTGCTAATTAGGAGTTAGGGTTTTTCTTTGTTTAATGTTTCGGTTTATCGGATAACAAAAGGCTGATTCAGTACTAGTAGTTGTTGGATCAATCCCCGTGGTAATGATACTATACTCATCATTATATTACTTGATCGGCTAGTGCACTTGCTAGTGTCTTCTAAGCGCATCATGTTTTTGGCGCCGTTGCCGGGGAATTATCACAACAATATTAGGAACCATCAACTGATGTTAATCTGATTTTAATTTTGTACATTATGTTTATGATATTTGTGTATTAGTCTCTTTATGACTTTGACTTGTACAGTTTATGACATGCAGAAGTGAAAAGGAGAGCATCACCTACGATCCCGAGATTGAATGAACTCTCCACCGTCGCATTAGAGCTTCTAGGCAAGAGAAAGTTGAGAGTACAAAGATAGCCGAGCAAAGGACCATGATGGACTATGCCAAACCAACCTTCACCGGGGCAGCCTTGAGCATTGTGAGACCAGCAATAACTGCCAACAACTTCAAAATCAAACCAGTAATCATTCAGATGATTCAGAATACAGTTCAGTTCTGCGGCTTGGCTCATGAAGATCCGAACACTCACATCGCCAACTTCTTGGAAATATGTGACACATTCAAGCACAATGGGGTTAGTGATGATGCGGTGAGGCTCAGATTGTTTTCGTTCTCATTGAAGGACAAGGCTAAGACTTGGCTGAACTCTTTACCAGCTGGATCGAACGCTACTTGGAATGAGATGGCCAGCCACTTCCTATCCAAGTATTTCCCTTCGTCCAAGACTTCAAAGATGCGGAATGATATCACCACCTTCTCTGAGCAGGACGGAGAGTCATTGTATGAGTCATGGGAGCATTACAAGGAACTATTGAGGAAAGTCGCTCATCATGGACTTCCCGTATGGCTGCAAGTTTAGACATTTTATAATGGGTTGACCGAAGCAAATAAGACTATTATGGACGCTGCAACTGGGGGATCCATTAATAACAAGACCCCTGAACTTGCCCATGCACTCATTGAGGAGATAGCTACAAACAACTATCAGTGGCATTCTGAGAGAGCCCAAGTTAGGAGACAACTTGGACTTCATAATATAGACACTTATACAGCACTATCTGCACAAATCGGTGCCCTCAGCAAGAAGATAGATGAAATGCAGTTGGCATCCACGCATGTTCGAACTGTAGTCTATGAATGGTGTGGGGGAGGTCATGTCAGCACTGAATGTCAAGTTGGAAATCAGTTCATGCAGTCCTCCAAGCAAGTAGATTTTGTTGGTAATTTGCAAAGGCAGCAACTTAATCAGTACCCTCGTGCATTTAACCCCGGATGGAGGAATCACCCCAATCTGTCTTGGAAAAATCAAAATGCGGTGAAACCCTTTCCCCAAAATTTTAATCAGCCAGAGAAGAAATCCAATCTAGAGGTGCTGATGATCAAGTTCATAGCAAGTGCAGAAATGAGATTTCTGAACCAAGAGGCATCGATCAAGAACTTGGAAACTCAAGTGGGGCAGTTGGCATAGATGATATCTTCTAGAGTCCAAGGCGCCTTACCCAACAATACCGAGGCAAATCCAAGAGAACAGGTGCAAGCCATTACTTTTAGGAGTGGTAAGGAGCTGCAAGAGGTGGAGAAGAAAGCAAGGGAAAAAGACAAGGTGAGCGCCAACCCCAGAAACCGAAAAGAAAGAGGAAGAGTAGTCTGAATCAAAGAAGGAGACAAGTCAACAGCCGCAAGTACCATTTCCCAATAGGCTAAAGCAACACAAATTGGAAAAGGAATTTGGTAAGTTTCTTGAAATTTTTAAGAGTTTACATATTAACATTCCTTTTGCAGATGCTTTAGCCCAAATGCCACACTATGCAAAGTTCCTGAAGGAGATATTGGCAAACAAAAGGAAACTGGGAGACGTGGCTACAGTTGCACTGAATGAAGAATGCTTAGCAATCCTCCTCAACAAGCTGCCTCAGAATCTAAAAGACCCAGGGAGTTTCACTATTCCTTGCACTATAGTCAGTTTGAAAATTAACAAGGCATTGTGTGATTTAGGAGCTAGTATAAATTCGATGCCCTATTCGGTTTTTAAGAAATTAGGGTTGGGTGAACCCCAACCCACTAGAGTTGCATTGCAATTAGCTGATAGGTCCATTAAGCATCCTAGGGGAATCATAGAAGATGGGCTTGTTAAAGTTGATAAATTCATTTTTCCAGTGGACTTCATAGTGTTAGACATGGAAGAGGACATTGATGTTCCACTTATCCTAGGGTGACCCTTCCTAGCTACAGGAAAGGCAACGATTGATGTCCAACAAGGATAACTCAACCTTAGGATTCAAGATGAGAAAGTAATTTTTAAAATGTCTGATGCTATGAAACATGCACCTTCTAGTGATGATTCATGTTATATGATAGATGTCAATGATTATGTTGTTGGTGGATGTTTTCAGGTCAATAGTCAGCGCCTCAAACCATATATAGCGGATGGAGCATTGCCTACCCCATCAACTGTGTACCTAGATGTTTATTGATCCCACTGGAATGTCGAGCTTCAGATAGAAAACAAGCACTTATTGGGAGGCAACCCAATGCTGATGAGTAGTTTTTTTATTTATTTGTTTATTTGTTTTTCGTTTTCTCGTATCATTCGAGTTTTTAGGGTGTTAATTTTGTAGATTGTTGATCCCTCCTAGTGTTTCTCATTCTCTCCTCCAAGAGTGCTCTTCAGGGAAGTTCTCTAAACCCCTTCAAATGTTTAAAGTCCCACTGCTTACATTGCTAAATTATGAAGGGATGAGAGATCCATCATATGGATGGCCGAACCCTGCAGGAAGGTAGGGTACAATTTCAAAAAATTTCTCTCTCTCCCATCTGGGAATCACATTCCCTATTTTAGAAAACTGTTTTTCAAGGTTCAATCTTGAACCAAGAACTGAACCCGGATTTGAACAAATTCATTAGGAGAGGGATATACCTGATATGAAAATGCAATATCTCCCAATGAAGGTGTTCACGCCCAAAGAAAGACTCCAAAGACTGCTCCCACTGAAGATGACACACTGAATGGTGGAGCAAAATCAGCAGGGTCCGTCCAACGAACCGAATTCTTCAACAAGAATTCAATGGAGGTAGTGAACACGACTTCTGATCAGCCTTTCTCCAAAGACTGATATCAAGACACTTTATGATCGCTCCTACAATGGAGGGAGATCGAACTGGTTGTGGTGGCAACTGGAGGAAATCGCAGGGAGAAGATGGCGCAATCACACTATTGTTGTCTTCTCTCTAGGTGCTCGGAGATCTGATCTCTGAGATTTTTGGGATGGGTGGGATGAACTCAATGGTTCACCCCCTCCTCCTTTTATAGCTCTAAAGAGAGCTCCTAATCTCATTAGGAGTTTCCTAATCCAAATCTGTATTTGGATAATGAGTTCTCTTTAAGAGATAAGGATAAGTCCTTATCTTTTCTACAGATTAGATCAACTCTCTCCTAATCTCATTAGGAGGTTTCCAGATCTGAATTCAGATCTGGACTCTCTGAGTGGATAGGGTAAGACCCTATTCTATCTGTTGATTTAATCCCAGATCTGCCCCCTTATTTAACTAATCAAATTAGGCCAGTTCAAAATGGGCTTTAGGCTCAATAAGTCTAAGTGCTCAAACTGCTTCCAAATTGCTGCCCAGTTGGGCTTCTTTGTATGGCGTGGGACCCAAACATTGATCTACACATCAGCCACATAGGCTTGGCCCAACCTCTATTACAAGGCTTGGCCGAATTCACTAAAAAGATAGTGAACCCCGTGAAGCCCATCACATGGACTCCTAATGAGCCCAACACTTACTCTAAGTGGTCCTTGGGCCAAACCACCTTAAGAAAACCCAGGGATTGTGGGCTGATGCAAGATTAGCCCATTAGGTATTACCCTCAATGGTCTTACACTTAACCTCTCAGCCCATAATAATCATACACTGCCCGACAAGAGAGGACCTCTCCCTCGGCTGCAAGGAACAGTG